CCGCAAAAAGCCAAGTTTCGGTGAAGGCCATCTAGTCTGGGCGAATATCTGACGCAAGCATCTGTACCTCATGAAGTTTATTTCTCAGACTGCGTACATTGGCAAAAATTACACGCAGTCTGTTCTCATGCTCTACTGTTCTGAGTTGAGGAGAATTGGCCTCCACCGGGTTCTCAAAGTTCTCCGGATTACGCGAAAATCCACGATGTGGAGGTCTGTCTCACCATTCCCTCTGCGGGACCGGAGCTCATCAACGGCTGTTTTCATTTTAATACGATCTTCCGAAGAAAGATCTCTCAGGACGTAAAAAGGCTCATCTTTCAAACGTGGGGTTCGCCAAAGGATGCGTCGGCATTCCTCTTCGCTTTGGCATACGATCTTGAAGGGGCGTACCTTAGAAGGATCCTCTTGCTTCCTCCCCAGGAAGAAGGCAGAGATACTGTTTATACCTAATTCACCATCGAATAAAATGGAAATCATTCGTTCAAGGAACCATTGGTCATCAAGCATTCTTTCTGCTGAGGTGTCCTTGGTGGGTTCTGGGACGTTCACAATGATAAGACATCTTTCACGAGAGGGTGGTAGAGCGCGCCCAGAGATCTGCGGCTGTGGTGACGCACAGTCCTTGATCAACTTTTCCAGCTCGTCGATTTTGTCGAGAACAGACTTCATTTGGGTCTGGGAAGCAGTTTTCTTGGGTTTGGACTTAGACTTCGCCTGAACATTACATATAGTTTGCCTCTGACCCATTGGGACGGTGGAAGTTTTCCTCACCACGGCAGCGTATGTCTCAGTCATGAGCTCACTGGGCAAGGCCTGTGTCAAAGGTTCTGATTGCGAAGCAGATGGGACACGGCTTCGTTTACCCGTGGGGGTAGCTGAGCCGGAATTAGGTGTGGACGAAAAAGGTGATGGAACAAGAGAGTCCAATGCAGTGGAAGCTTCAGACTTCGTTGGATTAGAGTGAGGGCTCAGGACTGGCAGTCCGGCGTGAAGGCGTCGACTGTTCAATGAAGTACGGCAGCGGCTACAGGAAACAGTGATAACTGATGTAGTATATCCTTGCAGAGACTTATAGAGTTCAGGACAAATGTCACAGCAGGCAATATACAGCCA